AAAATTGGAAAAATTCCTGAAAATTGGAAAAATTCCTGAAAAATGCAAAAATTGCAAAAAATCCGGAAAATTGTAATAATTCCTGAAAATTAAAAAAATTTCTGAAAATTGCAAAATTCCCTGAAAATTGCAAAAATTCCTGAAAATTGCAAAAATTGCAGAAATTGCAAAAATTCCTGAAAATTGGAAAAATTCCAGAAAATAGTAAAAATTTCAGAAATTCCTGAAAATTGGAAAAATTTCAAAAATTCCTGAAAATTGGAAAAATTTCAAAAATTCCTGAAAATTGGAAGAATTCCTGAAAATTGGAAGAATTCCTGAAAATTGCAAAAATTGCAAAAATACCTGAATATTGCAAAAATTGCAAAAATTCCTGAAAATTGCAAAAATTGCAAAAATTACTGAAAATTGCAAAAATTGCAAAAATTGCAAAAATTCCTGAAAATTGGAACAATTCCTGAAAATTGTAAAAATTGCAAAAATTCCTGAAAATTGCAAAAATTGCTATAATTCCTGAAAATAGCGAAAATTACTGAAAATTGCAAAAATCGCAATAATATTTCATTCAGATCATTTGATGTTTCATCTTTAACATACTTATCATGTATTTTTAATCATGTATTCTTGTAATATAATTCATCTATTTCTGCACTTTAGCGATTGAGGGTGAAGATTATCTTTATTTTCAAGCACTATGGCTATTGTAATTATGACTTGCCGTACATGTAATTTACATAACATGGTCAAATAAACTACTCTACTCTACTCATGGCGGTTAGAAAATTTTCAAATGAACACTGGGTATGTACTTATACTATAGCATCCGGCCTAATATTATAATGTTGAAAACAATTTTTATATTATTACTCCATACTCATATTCCATTTCGGCCTATGCATATTTTTACGGAATACTGATGTATATTGCCTAAAGCACGGATTCCAAGGAAAACGATCCCACAAATTCTGGTTTAATATGACAGATCTTGACAAAATACAATGTTTGCCCCTCAGCAACCTGTCAAATGACGTAATTCTGGAATGATTAATATAATCATTCCAGAATTACGTCATTTGACAGGTTGCTGAGGGGCAAACATTGTATTTTGTCAAGATCTGTCATATTAAACCAGAATTTGTGGGATCGTTTTCCTTGGAATCCGAGTTGGAACCAGAAAGAATTTCATAATTTTGTTTGGTGAAACTGTTATTATATTGTGGATGTGGCTGGAACGGCCAAGGCAATGCTCATCAAAGGTAACCTAACAGATAGTTTGTGAGCCCCTCAAGAAACCATGTCAAAATCACGTGGTCTAGAATGATCAATATTGCCTAAAGCACAACTTGTAAGCTGTGCCTGTGGCCTGTGGGACTTATTCGGAGAATTCAGACGACCGCAGACTCCGCAGAGGCCTCAAGGGGTAACACTCAAGGCCGCTTTTACTATAAATGTTGAAATATTTTACGCTAGAATGAGTTGGAGTGAAACACTAGACGACTTCCTTCGTTATCGGGCCCCGCCTCCTTCGGACAGGATTTTTACTTGCCCCTTTACACCTTAGATTTAGTTTGACCTTTTTCAGAGGGTAAAACCCTCCTTAACATTGAAAAGTGTCAAATGAATTATTGCTAGATGAATAGAAACAAAAAAATGAGTTTTTTTGCTCTAACCAACTTATGGATTACTTAGATTGTGGTCAGTTCCTATTTCTCTCTATAGGGCCTTTTCTAGTAGTTGCTATTAATATAGCTCATAGCTGCCACTGCACATTTCATTCCCTTCTATTGCCATCTCAATATCGCTTTTTTGTTGATTTCCGTTAAGAATCAACGAGAAGAATGAGCCCATCGGAATCGGAACTTGAAACTTGACGTAAGTAGGCGACAAACTACAAAGAGAAAGGAAAAAGCCCTAAACAATGGCGGAAGAGTTTCCGTGTCAGCGCACTCTGGATGGCTCTGATGCATGTACGAAAAACGGAACGAAGGCACGAAGGGGGTCGGTCGGGGGGCTCGAGGCCCTTCAGGCACCTCTTGTCACGAGTTTTTCGCGTCCATTGTGGACTTATGGTAATTCGCTTTGTGCCGAGCACTGAGCACTTCTCGCTCGGCTTTGAATTTTCGAGATCTTCGAGTGGCAACTTTTCGAGTTCATTAGAGCTGGGTAACCGACAAAAAATCATTGTGCGGTTCCTTATACCTAGTTCATATGCGACTTTAGCTTCTTTTAGGTATAGGCAGAATAATAACAATAATACACAGTAAGAAAAAATAGAGTGATATATTGAACACTATACCTGTTCCCAGGAGGACCACCAAGCTTTAGAGTAAATGATTTAACTCTATAGTTTAGTATATTTCACATTATGAACAGTGTCGAATCCACCGGAAATTGAATCATTCAATTATTCACTCTCCCTGAATGTCAAATTGCTCCTGCAATGTTCAAATTAACACTACTATGTGTTTATAGGTGCTAAAACAAGGAGTTATGATTTATTCATCATTTTAGATTGATATAGAACACTAGTTGAGTAAACTAGGCTTACATTACATGTCACAGTATTTATAGGCCTCCGGCAGACGTTCAGCGGCGAAACCTCTCGACAATATAGTCGTGCGAATTGACGGATGAGATGTAGTGTGAAGTTTTGATATTAGAAAAGGGACTCGAGCAGGGCCTACTCTAGGGTGAGATAGAGTAGGCCCTGACTCGAGCCGCATTAGACTAACAAGTTAACCTATCTGTTTCATAAATCGTTCGAAATAATGATTCGAAACGGAAAAAAACTATTCACATGTTGAGTGCTCCAGTATTTTCCTTCGGTTATATCGCAATTGAAAGCGCTATTCTTGATGTGTAGCTTCTTATCCATGATAAAATTTTCACACTCCATCCTAGAACAACAAGTCTCATTATCAATATATCTATCATGATATCTAATAACATTTGATATTCCATCTAAAATTATGGTTTTTCTATATTTATACGTAACTCGGCCTAGTCCATGCTGGAGCCGTTGAATATACCTTTCAAAGTCCATTGGCCAAACATTATTGAATATTCCCATATTGACAAACTGAAGCACTCGACAAGACGACCAGAATATTTATGCATCACTATAGATTATTGATTCTTCAAAATTGTTATTATATAATCCGACTAACAAATGATTGCATGTGTTGAACTAGATTCATAAATCAGATATAAAAAATTAAGATGACGGGACATTGATCACTTTTAATTCAGGCTGCACTGGCTGCGATTGGGAACTAATAATCATGGTTGTTGTGTGAATTCATGTTAGCATCAGAATATTTTGTTATGTTATCCTTCTAGGAGGTTTACGAAAGCGTATAGAACGGCCACTGTTGTGTGTATTTTATTTTATTTCTTTATTCAGGCTTTTTTCTCTGAATTCAGACTTTTTTGTCCGAGTTCAGACTTTTTTCTCTGAATTCAGACTTCCTTCTCTAAATTCAGACTGGTTTAATTGAATGCATTGAATACACATTCACATTAGGTAATAACCGAGGGTAATACACTGATTTCAGTAAGTATATACCTTTTATATGTCATCTATAGTTTTCATAGGGTTGATTATTAATTTCATTATTATTTGCAGGTCAGTACGTCAAAACGTCTATAATGAATGATGTGATTATTCAAATATATTTATACCCTATATAAAAACCGAGAGTATAGTTTATGCAGATTCCTGCATCTCACCTCCCGACTTCAATTGTATAATTCAGAGTGTAACTTTCGAATTTCAAATGGAACACCCTGTATATCATTGCATTTTCAAATTCTGCATCATTTTCTGAATCGAATGATATCATATAATAAGTGGCATTTCAAACTTCAATATTGATTTTAATTTCATTTTTGATTTTCCATTGGAGTGTGCCATGACTATTCTGACCGAGTCTGATGTACCTACTAATATTTTCAGGTGTAATGCAAAAAATGTAAGTTCATCAAAATGGTGTGCTGTACCATGATCCTGCTACACCCGGTATACAGGGTGATTCACTTCTAATGGAATGTATCTTACGTTATCGTCGGGTAAGGATCCTAAAGTTTGCTGGAGCGAGAGATATTTCAAAAATGCACTCTATGACCAAGTGGGGTCATCTTCAGTGATATACACTGCTCGCCAACAGCCATGGAACCACCCCAATTTCCGGAAAATGATATTAGGAGTCAAAATAGGTTGAAAATCATTTCGGATTCGAAATCAGGACGCCCAATTCACAAACCATTCATAGTTTTCCTAGAAAATTTTCAGTTCAGAAAAATTAAATTTTGTCTCACTTCTCATGGAAGCACCCCCATATCTCACGTAATTATCGAGGTAGGGTTCTGAAATTTGTAGGAGGAAGGGGAAGTCCAAAGATAAAGTCAATTACGTAAGATACGATGTGGAAATTTTCCAAACTGGAAAACTGTGAAAATTTTCCAGGAAAACTGAATAGTTATAGTGAATTGGGGGAATTTTACATCCAAAATTCCGAGTTATAACTCAGAATTTTAAAATTCCGTGTTATAACTCGGAATTTTACATCAAAGTTCCGACTTATTGCTCGGAATTACAAAATTCCGAGTTATAACTCGGAACTTTAGATGTTAAATTCCGACTCATAACTCGGAATTTTACATCAAAATTCCGACTTATATCTCGGAGTTTTAAAATTCTACGGAATATTGGGTGTAAAATTCCGAGTTATAACTCGGAATTTTAAAATTCTGAGTTATAACTCGGAATTTTGAATGTAAAATTCCGAGATATAAGTCGGAATTTTAAAATTCCAAGTTATAACTCAGAATTTGGAAGAGTTTTATTTTTTCATTTTATGAGTTCCTTCCAGGGCTTCAGACTTCAAAGTTTGAATAAATTAATAAAATGAAATACACACAACAGTGGCCTTCCTACGCTTTCGTAGAGGTTTGATGTTCGGAGGTTCGTTTTTCCCATGGCCCATTAAAGTGTCCCGTCCTCACGCCTGCTGCAGAGACCAGAGGGCTGCGGCCGCATTAGTCCGGAGCAAGTCCGGAGATATATGCCAGGATTGCCGGGAAATCGGGGGCACAAAAGTGTGCATGAAAGAGCTGTTGGCGACAGTGTGGCGGATGTGTATTGATTGCTCCATAAAATGCTGTCCGGCTTGGCTGGACGTGACATTCGAGATTTATCAGACTTTATATAACACACCGCAGAGGATGGGAGCCGCCCACAAAAACACCCTGCGATCGCCACGGTCGCCCATTCGCCATGCTCGTGAGGGCATAATAATTATCGTTTGCAGAGTGAAAAGGGCATCTGAACATCAATTAATTGTGTGCCGTTAGACCCATATCTGGGCAGGAAGAAAATCTTGCAGTCAACTTCACCAAAACCATACTTCATTTAACATTGGAATTGGGCAATTGGGACATGTTTCGAAGCTTCAAAGTTTCATCATCAGCAAAAATTATTTGTTAGTAAGTAAGTAAGTAAGTGTTCGCTTGGACAGTTCGCAATGCAAAAGTTGCTCTGTTCAGTTTGGTATTCAGCTGCTTCATGTGTTCCATCCAATTTAGTTTCATATCAATAGTAATCCCTAGAAATTTAGTGGATTCGTTCGAAGAGATTGCTTCATCGTTCAGAGTTACCTCAACATCTTGGAAATTTCTATAAGGGTTAAACAGTATCTCTTGAGTCTTAGATACATTCAATGATAACTTATTTGCTAAAAACCAGTCTGCTATACCGCGTCCAACGCACTTTGTGATTTTGAGTTGAGGTCCAAAAATAGAGAAAGAGATTTCGGGAAAGTTAATGTCGTTAATGTAGATGAGAAACAATGTTGGTCCGAGGATAGAACCCTGAGGCACACCACTTTTTATGTGGCCCTTTTCTGACTGATAATACTCGACGTTGTTATGATCCTTATTGTGCATGTTCTATTCTAACCAACATTTCTCTATCATGCAAATAAGTTTCAAACCAATTTTTGACGTTCCCTCGTATTCCATATAGAATTCTAATTTATTTAATAGTATTGATCTGAAGGTATTGATCGAATGATCAACAAAGTCAAACGCCTTGGAGAGGTCACAGAATATTCCAAGTGGAAACTCTTTGGATTCCAAAGCATTATGTAACCTCTCCAGGAACGTGAGAGCCGCATCAGTTGTGTTGAGATTTTGTCAGAAGCCAAATTAATTGTGATTCTGTTAAAATGTTCTTGTTGGATAAGTATACTTATTGATTTGGTGATTAACGATCCATTCAAGTAATTTACTGAAATTTGCTAATAGCGATATTGCTCTATAGTTACTGTTCTGGGGAAAATATACAGGGTGTCCCGAAACCAAACTTCACCAGTGGCTTCTACGACCAAAAATAGTAAGAACAGTTTCAATTATCATGAGGCCAGAAATGTCTCCTAAGGACCAAGATATGAATAATTTTATATAAGAAAATTCCAGTGTTTACTTCATTCAGTGTGCCACACTGATCTGCCCAACTCTCTATAAAGCTAGCTGTGAATATTTCGGAGTTGTGAGTTGTGATATAGAAGTTATATGATGGCAGCAAAAAAACTGAATAAAAACCACGTGTTCATAAGTGCAGGTAGTTTTCCGTAGAAGCGAAAGTGTTTTTGCATATAAACATGTGCTTTTTATATCTCATAACTTCGCTATTATCATAGCTTTTGTCACAGCCTCAGAATCAAAAGGGACGGACTGGACAAGTAAAAAACATTGAAAACAAACTTGCATCTCCTTTCTGGACCCTCTGGGGAGAACAAGAGATATAATAAAACAATGTACACTCCCCCTCTCGGTGAACAGGTACCTACCTAGGTATTAAATTGGGCAATTTGACGCGCTAAAGATGATCCCGATATTAAAGAGGGTGAATCGGGGTGCGCGTTTGAATATGACTCCTCTCGTTTCAATATCGACTGAGCCCTGAGCCCTGCGTTTATCGTTTAACTCTGATATTTACTGGAATAATGGCATTAGACGGGTATTAGCCGGCTCATCTTCTGCCCGTTGGCATGGAGAAAACGGCTCTAATGTTATTAGAGCCAAAGCCCCTTTGATTGTGCGGCAGCGAAAATATTGTTCCCGTCTGAGTCTGCATATAATATCGACTATATATCTATAGAGTGACGAGGAACTTGAGAGAGATGATTCTAGCTGGGAAAATAATGTAGTGTATGTATACACCAAGCGAGCACAAACATCCCTGGGATGTTTTGAAAATGTTGGCATGAAGATGTTTTTTTGAGATGTATAATATGCACTTCCCAAAGAGGTCTTCGAAGGATATTGAAGTATTGTTTTTGTTCTTCTGTGGTCTGTGGAATTTCTTTGTTTGCCTACTGAGGTCTGAGAGGCATCCCTGGGATGTTTTAGGATGTTTTAAACATTTAGGCATCAGGATGTTTTTTGAGACGTAATATGCACTTCCCAAAGAGGTTTTCATAGGATATTGAAGTATTATTTTTGTTCTTCTGTGGCATTTCTTTGTTTGTCTACACTGAGGAAGTATTCCTGGGATGTTTTGAAAATGTTGCCATGAGGTTGTTTTTTGAGACGTTTAACATATTGCACTTCCCAAAGAGGTCTTTGAAGGAAAATGGGAGTATTGTTTTTGTTCTTCTGTGCCATTTCTATGTTTGCCCCTCCACAAAGTCTCATCATGCTTATCACAATACGATGAATTCCGATTTGTTTCCGATTCCGTTGTTCCTTGTCGCATTCTTGATTGCATCAGCGTCTCACCCATGATTGCTATCTATATAGACTATTCTAGACTGTCTGACGTAACGCTATAGCGAATAATGACCAGCAAATGTAAGATTTGTTGTTCAGTGTCTCAGTGTAATCAATATAAAAGTACAAATGTATCAAATACACAGATGCGAAATTATGCGTAGCAAAGCACTACTTAGAAACCGCTTATGAAGCTAATTTTATATATCAAGTGCAATTTTTATTTCAAGGGACATGGTTTCCAAATGCAGAAGTTCATTTTTACAAAAGGCTTCAGATAAACGCCTGAAAATAGTTATTTTGGTATCCAGAGTGCGAAATGCTATTTGCTACCCAAGTACCCAATCAGTGTATCCATGACTACTACAACAAATAACAATTTTCCCTTTGAACTCCAATGAAACTGCAATTACCAATTACACAATACACAATAAACAAATTCAATGTGACAGAAGTGTCAATTAAATAATCAGATTCAAATACTGTCAATCATCTGTCAATAATTGTCCATGGCATACTACAGCGCTATGCAACTAACATGTAACATGTCATCGTTATACAGAGTGTTTCTTAAGTACGTGTAGAAAATTCAGGAGCATGTTGCTAACGTCAAAATAAGAAGAAAAGTTCGTATAAATATATGTCCGTAAGTTATTCGTTTCTGAGATACAGTCGAGTGTCAAAGTTGAATTCTTATTTTTGATTTTTGTTTTCAGTTGCTTGCAGCGACCTCTTCCAGGAATATATTTTTCACACAAAAGTGTTCTCGAAATCTATTTTTCTACTATAAAACGTTATACAGGTACGCACAAAAAAGTTATGACTTTTCAAAAGACTCAAAAGCCATGTAGGTGGCGCCACGTTCACGAAAGAGACAAACCAACATAAAATTTGATATCGTCATTGAAAAATACCCCTACCCAGCGAGCACAAAAACATCCCAGAGATGTTAAAAGTACGAGATTTCGAGACATTGAACCTCCACTGCGATGTTCTGTTCACACATGAATAGAACTACTTATTATAAAACAGCCAATGTCCGCCGCAGGCGGCAATTATCGAAATATCTTTGATATGACACAAAACTACCTTCTCCCTAGTTCTTTTTAAAGCCTTTTCATGGACACAACAAAACATTTTCAACGCGTCTTGCGCACATTAAGTCGCTGTAAAAAATTCATTTTCGAGGTACTTTTCTGAAGCCTTTTGTCAAAATGAACTTTTGCATTAGGATTCCATTTCCCTTGAATGAAAAAATTCATTGAAAATAGATTGAACATAAAAATATTTTCTTGATATGAAATTACCTTCTTAATCGGTTTCTGAGTAGTGCTTACTACACACAGACATATAATTGGAAATAGGTTTCCCAATTTTTGAAATGTTCTTCACAATGCATAATTTTGCAACTCCGGAGAAGCTATGTGTATTGATAAATTCGTACTTTTATATATTGATTACACTGAGGCACCGAACAACACATCTTGCATCTGATGGTCATTATTACAAACTAAATAAGTCTTCTAACACAATACACAATAAACTTCACCAAATTCCTTTCTGTTCGTTAGCAGCGTGATGTAAGCGTGACACGCTGCAAACGCGAATGCCAATTGCGAACAAGAAGAACAAAATCGAAAACAAATCAGAATTCATCGTATTGTGACGTAAGCATGAGACGTTGTGGTGGGGCAAACAAAGGAAGGGCACAAAAGAACAAAAACAAAACTTTCAATATCCTTCTAAGACCTCTTTGGGAAGTGCATATTACGCCTCAAAAAAACATCCTCATGCCTACATTTCTAAAATATCCCAAAACATCCCAGGGATACCTCTCAGTAGGCAAACAAAGAAATGCCACAGAAGAAAAAAAACAGTACTTCAATATCCTTCAAAGACCTCAGTCAGTCAGTGCATATTACGTCTCAAAATAACATCTTCATGACAACATTTTCAAAACATCCCAAAACATCCCAGGGATGTTTGTGCTCGCTGGGTCACAAATGTCACAATTATTTTGAAATTTATTGACAACAAAAGAAAATGAGAATTCAACTTTGTCACTCTGTATCTCAGAAACGGATAACTTTCGGGCCTTTGTTTATACGAACTTTTCTTCTTATTTCGACGTCAGCAACATGCTCCTGAATTTTCTACACTTACTTAAGAAGCACCCTGTACATCATGGCGAGAGACGGTGAAAACTGAACAGTGTCACTTACATCAAGTTTATATTGAATAAATGTGTTTCTTTGAAATGTCGATTATATACAATATTGGTCTAAATTAAAACAGAGTCTTATCACGGTTTGGTTCATTGTTGAGATCGACTTATTGCTGAATATGAAAATATGACATTCCATGACCAAATGACCATTCATGACACCCTGCTGACTGTTCCCATCAAGAAATCATATAACGGCCATAACTTCATGAAATGGAAAAAAACTAGATCTCGAGTGTCTCGAACACCGTAGGCGCATATTCCACGATATGCTTATATATATGTACATATAAGTATATCTCGACGATCGACATGTCGTCAAGTACTCGGACCCCCCGGAAAAAATCATCCACCGAGATGACTCCGAACAACACCGATCTCCCTCCGCATCAGCCCATATTACATTCATTTTCCCTTCTTCCGTGTGCATGGGAATTTCCGCGTCGGAATTTTCGAGTGAGCGCGTCGTGTGGGAGCGCGGACCACAGTGTTGGGCGCCGCGGGGCGTCCCGGCTTCCGGGGAGCGGCTTTGTTGGCGCCCGTGGGGGCTCGTGGCTCGTCTGTGTTTGGGCAATCGCTCGGACGCGGCCGATCGGTCGTTAGCGCAGTTTACGCGCTTTCGGGGATTCTTCGGGGAGGCGGCACTAGGTGGAATTAATGCGGTGTGTGAAAATGTTTTGGGTTCGTAGCTATGTGTTGACTTTTTTGATCTGAAGATTAGGTTATTGGATATGGGGCGCTGCTGGATAGTTGCCCAGATAGCACATAAATATTCATAGGTGATCCTTAGAATATTTCTCGAGAATATGCAATTATTCTATGAATATCCACATAAAAATATAATTATCCCAAGAATATTCTGAGTTTATAGAAAGGGGACACTTTTAAAGAGTCTAAGAATATTCTCAGAATAGTGACGAGAATATCCCCCAAATCGGCCAAATCTATATAGGTTGACTTATCAAAAAATTAACCAGAATATATTCCTAGATTATATTCCTGGAACAAATCTAGTATACATGCTTTACACAAATATGATAAGAATATTATTGAGTTATCTTGAGAATATTCACGGAATAATCTGAGATTAAATTAACAGAACATGATCATGATAACCCAAGATTTCCCTTTTTTTCTATAGAAAATATTCTTAGCATTCTATTTATGTTCAATGTTGGTTAACCTTGAGAGGGTATAATGAAATATATCAAAAACAAAATTCATTTAAAAATATAATATAATACCAAGCAATTTAGCAGTATTTCCTCGTGAAATGTTATTATTACAAGAGAATAATAGTTTTTGAGACTTGCTTTCATTTTGCTTGAGCAAATTACTAACTAGCCACTCATCAATTTTCGTAAGTGCTGTATTATCTTTGATTTCAATGTTCGCCAAACTTTTGTCTGAATGATAAAATGTTGCATCATCAGCAAATAATATACACTTCGATGGACTCATGTTCACAAAAATATCGTTCACGTATATTATGAATAAAAGAGGCCCAAGTACCGAGCCTTGTGGAACTCCAAAATTATTCTGTTGAGACCTAGATATACCGTCATTGAAGAACACCCTTTGATTTCGCTCGCGTAAATAGGAGTCGAAGAAGTTTAGAGCTATTCCTCTAACACCATAATGCTCAAGCTTTTTCAATAGAATTTCATGCGAGACACAGTCGAAAGCCTTACTGAGATCACACAGGGTTGTGCCAGGGCCTACTCTATCTTTACAGTAGGCCCTGGTTGTGCTCGTGCATTCACCCAGCTCAAAGCCCTCGACTATGTCTTCTACCAGACTAATCACAGCATGCGTATGGTACTTCGTTTTTTCCTGAAACCGAACTGATTCTCATGCAGGAGATTATTAGTGTCGAAATATGATACGTCGTTTCTTCATAATAATTTCGAAAATTTTGCCGATTATAGGAATAATTGAAATAGGTCGATGATTTTCAGGTATGTCTATGTCTCCCTTTTTGTATATCGGAATCAGCTTGGTTTGCTTAAAAATACTTGGAAAAATGCCTTGAGTTAAACAAAGATTAAATAATTGGTTAAGAGGATGAACAATATGGTGTTTTATTTCCTTTATTATTTTACAATTCAGATTGTGAATATCCATACAGCTTGTGTTCTTCAATTCATCAATGGCGTCCTTCACTTCAGTTTCATCGATGGCAAAAAGGAAAAATGAATTTGGATTTCTAGGTGAATTTTTCAGAAATTCTATAGGTGACTTGTTCGCTGAAGGTAATTGTTCGATAATTTTTTCAGCAGCAGTTGAAAAGTACTCGATAAATTCATCTGGGGTTATGTCACAAGCAATTGTGTTGTGTTTGTTATCTTTGTTTCGCTCATAATTTATGAGTCGCCAAGTATCTTTACTTTTATTATCTGAATTCAAGATAAAGTTACCATATGCTAATTTTTTTGCTTCACGCAACGATTTGTAATAGTTTTTCTTATAATCTCGGTAAATTTTCAGACTTGCTATGTCGCCTTTGCTATCACTTATTATTTTCAGAGCCGAGAGATTTTTTCTCATATTTTCCAGTTTGTCGTCAAAAAAATTCACAGGAGCGATGGATTCAGAAGATATTGGTTTTAGTGGAAAATGTTTGTCAATGTGGCCCATCAAGGTATCTACCAGCCTATCAGAGAAAAATTCGACATCATTTTCCAAATCAAAGTCGTCCCATTGAATGGTACTTATATCATTTTCAAATTTCTTGAGATTATGATTGGTAATTTTTCGTCTAAGAATTTTTCCAGATTTGATGTTCTTTAAATTTTTGATCTCAATATATTGAGCATTATGATCAGATAAGCCAGGGTCGATGACACCAGTCTCGAACCTGTCTGACTCCAAGTTGGTTAGTATGTTGTCTATGCACGTCCAAGAGCCGGTCCTGTTATCAAACCTAGTATAATCATTGATAGTTGCTACTAGTCCATAGGAGTTCATCAAATCTATAAATTCACTTAATAGACTGCTGTGTCTGTTGAAATGAATATTGAAGTCTCCTACAATTATAAGTTTCCTGAATTTCATTGATATATTGTATATCCACTATATGAAAAATAACCGATTCCAATATCAATCGTCGAATCCAAATCCCGCGGATCCCTTCACATCTAATTGCGCCGAGAATGCAATATGGGCAGGTGCTTCTCGACCCGGTCGCAGGAGAGCGAATATCGCGAATCGCGATCCTGAGCGATTCCTGCGGGAAGGGTGTATCCTGACGCCGGGAGAGCAGGGCGGCGGGGGTCAGGGGGGTGGCAAAAATAAGGGGGGCAGCAAGCCACTTGACCCGCCGCGTTCGCTCCGGCTCACCGTTACTTAGCAACAATAATTAATCACATTCTGCAGCATCAGATCGGCTTACGGGGAATTAGACGAAGCCGAACGGTAGGAAATTGTTTCTGATGTGTACAAGGTGTTTCAGTTTTTAGCTGACAATGGACCCCGCAACTTTTTAAGGTTAATTGGGTCCCTGGGGATTTTTCTCAATTTTTGTGGTTCTATAAACATATTTTAATTGAGCCAACCTCCAAAAATGGACAGTTTTTTGACAGGGGGGTTTGAATTTGAATATTTCTCAAATAGAATTGAGGCCCTTCGGCATAGAATTCAATATGAATAAGAGCTTGAAGTTAGCTCACTTTCACGTGCGCTCACTTTTTCCTAAATTTCACTCGCTTGTAGATTGTATACATTTAGGTAAATGAATTAGATCTTGTTTGTATCACTGAAACTTAAACTTGATGATAGGGTAAGTGATCAATGTTTATATATTCCCGAGTTTCATCTCATTCGTAAGGACCGCGACTGCATTCTTGGTTGGTGTTGTATACAGGACAGCCGCATGTAGCTTGTCCAACTTTATAGATTATAAAGATAATATATTTTCCTTCATCGTACCACAATATGATAATATCATTGTGATGGGGGACATAAATGTGGATCAATTGACAAACTATTCCGTCGTTCAATGTATTGAAGAATATGATTTCTCGCAAATAATTACGGAGCCCACTCGTATATATAGCTAATAATACTCAGATGTAATTTTCACAAACAAACGTTCCTTAATAATTTTTCATCCGGAAGTATTGGGATCCACTTTTAAATATCTTTATTGTAATTCGACATAATATGATAACTCTCCATGTAATTCCTTTTTTTAGTGACATCCAAAAACGTCACACCATTGATGAATACAGTATGATCATATTAAACTATAAAGAGAAGACCTAAAGAACACAACATTCTCACCCCCCAAACAGCTTGAAAAAAAATCCGTGCTTGTGAGAAGCATAAGAAAAATAATTTCTTGTGATTAAACAATAGGAATACAATATTGAAGAGTTGTATTTCTATCCATAATCAAACGGTATAGTCTATTTTTTTCAAAATGTGAATCGAAATCCCCTATAGCAGAAAAACTGTCCATTTTTTAGTATTGTCACCCGATGATTTTCTGATCAGAATCATATGGACTACATCATATCGAAAATTCAGCGAAATCCTCCGAATTTTTCTTCATTCGCACCCCCCCATTTGGTGGGGGGTAATAATGCAAAAATGCGGTTTTCATAATGATCCGTGATGAAACATTTTCTATCACTTTTGACAGTTAGATGGAATTATTTTTTTTTTGTTATCAAAATAGGGGTTGGGGGTAATAATTTCCCCCCCATTATATTTTTTTATGAAGAATCTATTTTTAGAAGTAATCAAATGAAATAAAAAGTTTTGGAATATCGTTATTTTCTCAGAAATAAATGGTCAATTCGATCAAAATGTGAATTCAAACCCCTCTGGCATAAAAACTGTCCATTTCTGGAGGTTGGCTCAATGAAAATATTTTATAGAACCACATGAACTACATCATACCAAAAATTGAGAAATATCCACCGGGACCTAATTTACCTTTAAAATTTGCGGGGTCCTTTCAATAAAGGGCTCTCATCAAAATGAGAAGGAGAAAAGGTCCTGTAAATGTACAGGCTGTCCTTACGCTTACGCGGACCCAACATTTCAAATCAGTTTTTGAAGATCGTGTTACAGTGAACCCAATCACTAAAAAAAATTATTCAAATATCTGTCTCAACCTAGATCTGATAACACCCGAGGAAACTGAAAAGGCAATAATGAAATAAAAACACAAAAAATCTGTAGGTCCAGGCATGATACCACGATATATCCTAAAGAAAAGTAAAAAAATCCTAATAAACAAACTAACTAAAATTACATCTATATTCAAACATGGTAATCGTTTGGAGATTGCCAACTACAGACCAATAGCATTAGTTTTTGAGATAATTATGTGTAATAGAAAAACTTTTCACGTTAAAAATCGAATATCAATATGGGTTCAGAAATGGTAGATCTACAACAGGAAATTCACTAGATTTTGTAAATTTTACAACAAACTGTTTGGCTGGTGGTAGCCTGGTTGATACTATTTGTACTGATTTCTCGAAAGCGTTTGACAAGGTAGATCATGTCATTTTGATTCATAAACTCCAATAATTTTTTCGTAATAATAATTTTTGTAATTTCATAGCATCGTACTTGAAAAACAGGGAGCAATCATGTTACTGTACAAAATTTTGATTCACAACGGTACATAGCA